CCCACTTAGCTAAAATCTCACTTTTACGTTTTCTACCTATCCGAACATGGTTCGGTATTTTAATTACTGCGGATAAACCGCATGCCGCGAACCTTTCATCTTTTAGTATATTATTCTACACTTAATTACCTTTCTAACAAACTATCACACGAGTCATAAAGTTCTCGTTTTCTCATGTTATCACCGTTTGAAGTTAGACAAACAAATCTGCTAGCCAACCTCAAACAGGCTCCAAACAGCCCTCACTCTATTAACGATTCTGGAAAATACACTCAATTGATCTCAAGATTTTATATAGTAAACTAGACACCTAAATATCCAATTTTACATATCATACACCTAATTTTACCAAGAAACGAAGCGGGAAAAAATTCCCAAAAACTTCCAGAAACAGCCCCATGTGCAGGGGCGTTCTGCACAGTCTGTGTTCTCTGCCTCCTACAGGGCTGTGTGGTTATCCTTTGGTTCTCAAATCTTGACACAAGTTAGTTGACATATCAAGATTAAAAATGGAGTATGGCACACCCCTATTGGACCTTTGTGGAGGGAGATATGCTCTCCCAAAGTTCACCAAAATTCTGCCAATTTCTAGAAATTTCGTCAGAGTTTCCTTTGTTTTTCCAATGAATCCCACCTTTGAAGGTGTGTTATCAAACCTTAATTTTGTACCTAATAATCATGGGTGGCACACAATGACCAGCAATGCTTTGGTTCTCTTACAACCCTTCACAATTTATATCAAATTTGATCCATAATCATGATCCATGCTTACTTTCTCCAAGTTAAACTAATTTCAATCACAATAGTCATTTGCATGCATCTTGAAGATAAAACATAAATAAATCCTAGAATAGGCCTATTGTCCTTTCATCATATACATATGCTTCCATATTACATCAAGTCTCCATAATAAATTACAACTTCTTTACAAATATTACACAACCTTAAAGAACAACATCAATATACAACATAAATCCTCCAAATGAAATATGGTAAACATAAGCTAAATTTAGACAAAATATGGCATGAACATCGATGATACAATACATAATACTAACTCTACATACAGTGTTCATGCCCTAAGTCTAGCCTAGGCCCAATGGCCACAAAATGCAAAATGGCTTTATGTCCAAGCTCATCCTACGGGCCTCTTGCCCGTCGCTCCAACACCACTGGCACTACCTGAAATAAAGTCCCCAAAGCGGGGTGAGATATACGAATATATCTCAGTAACCCAGAGGTTCTGGAGAATACTCCGCTCAATGGCTCACTTCGATGGATATCAATAACATAATACAACATTTAAAACGAGATAAAGCAAGGGATTTAGTGAAGTAGGGAAGCATAGGGATCAAAATACGACAAAGCTGGAATGGTCAATGCCAAAGCCACGCAACGTCCGGCCTATTGTCCTCGGCACATAGCCTACGAGTTTCAAACCAAGGAGTGTTCCCAGAACATCAACCAAGGCACCCTCCATCCATATACACCCGAGACTTCCTAGTGTGCTCCTTTACAGATGACACACCACGACCCCAGGTCAACTGGAACTCCCTCATGGAGACCTATCCAGTGGAAGTCCATAACGCCCGAAGGCAAAATGTCTACTGGCCAAAGACTCGGTACATCCTATGTACCACTAAACATACAATAATGCATGAACATATTATACTATATTACTCACATACACCTCCAACCACTACCCTCAACGGACATGGTGGAGCACACACGGGGATCAAACCCCAATACCAAGGGATTACCTGAATAATCTACTTCTTCCAGCCCAATTCAATACGTTCTCGAGCTTGGTACAAACAGAAATGTCTACACATAGGACATTTCCCAATTCAATTTCCATTCACCAATGCATATACATGATTATAAAGAATTCATGCATAGTTTCAAGACCACTCACCAAAATCCCTTTGGTCTGGGACCAAAGGGAACCCACCAAGCTCACGGTTCCAAGTTCAAATTCGAGGGATGCAACCTACAATGATCACACAAGGGGGAAAGAATGCAATACTCTAAAATTCTAAGATTGTATATTCAAATTAACAGCAAAACAAAAGGGGGAAAGAAGAAGTACCTGATTAATAACAGAGAAAGGAACGGGCAAAGCAACTGTAAACCCTATGAGAACCTTCACAAACAACAAATGTGAAATACTCCAAAGATGAAGAAATACTCAGGGAAGATAATGCTAGAAACGAAGAAGCAAGATCTAGAATAGAGTGAAAGTCATACAACGTTTTGAAAATGGATATTTATAAGAAGGAAGAGCATCCCAAGAGCAAAGACGAAGAGGCCTTAAACAGTTAAGTAACCAAGGGCTAAGTAGTAAATTCACCACTGCACGCATTAAATAAATGCACTCATGACCTGCATAAGCTCAAAATGGCGCTCGTTCCATGATGCATGAACTACCAATAAGGGTACAACACGTGGAAAATTGTAACCTTCATTGCAGGCACGAAGCGAAAGGTCAAGCTGATGTGATAAGAACTAAATTTGACCTCATCCACGATATCGTAGTCGAAGCTCACACCACGACCAAAAATGACAAATTAAAACCTCGGCAAAAAAGGAAAGAAATTCTTTAAATCATAATCACATTTCATCGACATATCGAATGTCGGACCCGTGACCCAGTCTTCAACGCAATCAATTCAAAACACCAAATGCATGAACTCGATAATATTGAAGCCGAGATGATACCTCAACACCCTGGCATTCCGAGCTTCGTAATACCAGGCTGGGGGGCAACTGTTATGGATATATATCATATCCTAACTACCTACCTAAGAAGTCATCAAAGGATAAATGCCTAATTATCCTAACAATATTAAACAGCAAGATACTTGGGATAGAATCCTTATCCCAACAGCAAAGAAGCTGAATCCTACTGCTACTGGGAGATCTACACAAACCCTAGAGGTAACCCTTATAAATAATAGGCTAAAGATCCTAGGTAGACACTTTTTGACCTAATTACTATTACTGCCAACACTGCACACACCCACATCTTGGCTAAAGGCCTATTGCTTGTGTGCAGTGATTGGGATACTGGCTATAAGCCAACCAAGATACCTATCTCTAGGATATCTCTGAGCGCGTACCATTCGGTATAGCAATACGATCTTCTAAGACCTAACAATATGTCACAATATGCTTTCCAGCGTTTTATATGTAACCGCTTGCATAAATCAATTTGGCCGCCATAATTTATTACTGTTTTTGTCATTTTATTGCCGTCACAATGTGTTTCCCATTTTTGGCCATTTATGATAGGGGAAAAGAATTATCATGTTATAGGAGATTTCTTTCTCCTACTAGTGATACATCGAAATGTGTGCAATAATATTTTTTATTTTTGTTTTTAATAGGAGGTGAGACCCATCACATCTTGTGTCTATAGTAGGAGAAAGTATTCTCCTGCAACATGAGAAAAGAGGGACCCTTTATGATAATCACAAATGGCTTCATTTTCTGGCCATTAAAAAACGTTACAAACTTATGTATATAGTGAGGGAAATCAGTTTTTGCAGAAATTCCTACAATAAAAAAATAATTATATACTACAAATAGTATATAATATAAATTATTGAAAAATAATAATTATATATTATGAATAATACATAATTATGATATTAAGATTTTTTTCATACCTCTTATAATTATATATTATCTGTAGTACATTTTTTTTTCTGGAATTTCTGTAACATAAATAGTGACGTGTGTGTTGAAATTACTAATCGATATATAATTCTTATCACCAGGAGAGAACGATTTATATCTAATCCCACGTATATATAATACAAGCAACAGTAGCACAATTCACTGCAAATAACCTTAATTGTCATTAATGCTTAAATTAATTTAAGAATATTCTCCGCAACAAAAGCATGTGGCGCTTCTTTGTGTAAGGGAACGTCCATCACTGAATATATTTATGGGGTTGTTTCAAGAGTTTTGGTTTGTTTCCATCAAAGTGATTCCTACATAATAAGTTATCCATGTTTGGTTAGCTAATCTTATTAAATTTACCCATCAGTATCAGTTGCCCAGCTTTTGAATTTGCATGTTAAAAAGCAAAAAACCAGTACTGTTCGAGAAAGCAAGGTTGAAGGTGGTATTTGTGTGAAAAATCAGAGAAGTTAATAAAGCGGTTTATAAAGTGACACAATTACCTTTTACAATTGGTCCTACATGGTTATTTTTAAAAGGATAATTTTGTAATTTGATTAAGTTTTTCTATCAATATTTTATCTTCAACCAAACACACATTCAAGAATTTCTCTCAATTTTCTTAGTAAATATTTTTCCAACCAAACAACTTTTTTTACATTTTCTTACCAAACTCACTTTCCAACCATTTCCCTATCAATTACATTTCCCTAGTATTCAAAAAATTTCTCCTCAACCAAACACCTGATATATTCGAAAACTTAATCCAACCGAAAAAAGAAGAAGGAAAAGTGATATATTCGAAAACTTAATAATACTCAGGTACGTCCATCACAAGAATACTTTTTTATTTTTTTATTTCTCCACTATTCATTAATTATTCAACTAATTTAGTTTAAGTCATACAGATCGGGTTTATTAAATACTCAAACTCAAAATTATTAATTAAGTTAAAACAACTTATGTCAGTTAAATTTAAAAAATAAATAATGCATATCAGCATATGTCCATCTAATTTTGTATTGATATTTAATTATTTAAAAAAAATAGAAACACAATGTTCGAATTTTAAAGCTTAAGCTATTCCATAAAGTTTCATAAATGATTTATATCTAATTCCACGTAGGTTTATAATACAAGCAACAGTAATGTTTAAATTATTTTAATGATATTCTCCACAAAAAAAGCATCTGCAGCGCTTCGTAGGGTAGGGGAACGTCCATCGATCACTGAATATATTTAAGGAAACTGAAGTAGTAGCAGCAGAAAACAGCGATAGAGAAAACAGTAGACAAAAAAAATCAAGTGCTGAAATGGCCACCACGTTGTCCTTAGAATCCAGTTACGGTGGTGAGGACCTCCGGTTACCGACGAAGATGTGCATCGATGACATGCTGAAAAAGCATTGTGGGGAATTCGGGCGGTGGCAGCTGAAGCAATTCGTCCTCACAAGCCTCGCTTGGACACTCGGGGCCTTCCACTCCATGGTTATGATATTTGCTGACCGTGAACCACAATGGAGGTGCCACCCTGGCGCCGCCGGTTCGCACTGCCACACCGGTTCCCCGAGTGTCTGTGGCCTCCCACAGGGTTCGTGGGAATGGGCTGGAGGCCGCCGCGGCACCACCGTGTCCGAGTGGGGTTTGATTTGTGGAGACAAATTTAAGGTTGGGTTGGTCCATGCTTTGTTCTTCGTCGGCAGTATGATCGGTTAGTTCATTTTCTCTTATCTTCGTTTCTTGATGTTTTTTCAATAGTATTCCTAGCTAGATTCATCGTCTTCTTGGCCATCGTTATAGTATGCATAATTAGAAAAAATGAATAAATAAATAAAAATGAGAAGAATAGTTTTTACTTTCAGTAAAGTCCTTATCAAAAAAATAATGTTCCACGTTCGGCACTTGCAAAAAAAAAAAAAAGTTATTTTGAATTTAAGGTGAATTCATTTTGTTGAAATTGTAGTCCTTTATAAATTAAAAAAAAATTCACATTAGTTTCTTAAATGGACTAAAATAGGTCCACTTTGAATTTCATAAGAATCACGAGATTAATTTTTTTTTTTTTTTTTTTGTAAAGAATCAAAAGGGACTTTACTCTTTTACTTTTAGGAAAAAATTACTTCGCACAAATTATTTGAGGTTTGTGAATAAGTTATTTATGTGAGAGTAAATTTGAACAATTGTATATCATAACTCTATTAATAGTTATCAATCAAATTTGGACGTACAATCACAGGGAAAAAGTTGTTATCCAAATTTTACCAGACAATTGCAGAATATCGTTTAACGTATATGGGTACAATATACTATAAAGATCAATAATATCGATCATGTACTACTAGAATGACTGGGCAACTATTTGCATATATAACTGGAAAAAGGCAAGATTTCAAGTAGAATTCAGGTATCAAAGGCAGACTCTTTCTTTCTTTTGGTGTACCGTTACAATCCCACGAAATCTACTTTTCAGGATTGCTTTCAGTTTCGTCTCTTTTTATCTCTGTTATTTAATATAAAAGGTGAAGAAATACATATAAATAGATCAGCATGTGCCGTCGTATGTGGGAGATGAAGCATGGCCATTCTGCATGTCAGCCTCATGATCTGGTTATTGCAAGTCAGCCTCATGATCTGGTTATTGCGTGTCAGCCTCACCTTTCACTTATTTCTCTCTTTTGTGTGCTGTGCACTTTACAGTAAACCAATTCTGATTGCTTATTAGCCCCACAATCTGAAATTTCATTCTGTACTCATTCGCTTTTTAAATAATTGGCCGCACTTTATTATTAGTCCCACACAATATGATTGGCTGAATTAAAAGGATACAACAGTATTTATTATAACACAATTTATATAAAAATAAATAAAAAATTATTATATTTTATTAATTAATTATGAAATATGGGGCGGTTATATACTTATTAATTTTATTTTTTTTGTAAATTACTTACTAATATTTTAGTTTTACTACTCTTATTACCTGATTGGCTATCATTGAATCAATTTAAAATCAACGATTCAAAAATAGAAAAAATTAACTGCCATTGAATTTAAATTTATCAAATAATAAACGATAACGAGTCAGATAGTAAGAGTAGTAAAGTTAAAATGATAGTAAATTTTCACATGAAACATTAATAATAATTTTTGCATAAAACTTTGTTACCAAATAATATTGATGTGTGAGAAATTAGCTCGTTTATTCATTTGCTAAATAATAATAAATTTCTATAAAAGGACATAACAACTGGAATAAATTATTTCTTGTATTCTTTTAACATTATCATGTGATGCGTTAAATCTCAGTCATTATTAAGAAATCAATAGCGAGTAATTAAATTAAGTTAATTAATTTAAATTTTTTTATTTTGCGGGTTTAATCATTAAAATTAATAATTAGTTAATTTATCAAAAATAACTAAAATTCAACGTATGACATAATCATGTAAAAATCACACATAATTTTCACATAACATAATATTGATGTTGTAATTTCAGGTGCGGGAATATTTGGTCACCTCTCAGACTCATTTCTCGGAAGGAAAGGCTCTCTAGCTGTGGTTTGTGCCCTAAACGCCATCTTTGGCTGCTTAACAGCACTCTCTCCTAACTACTTGACCTATGCCCTGCTCCGCCTCCTCACCGGCTTCAGCTCCGGTGGCATCGGCCTCTGCGCCTTCGTCCTCGCCACCGAGCCAATTGGTCCCAAAAAACGAGGGTTCGCCGGCATGTCCACCTTCTACTTCTTCTCAGGTGGCATTGCACTTCTCTCAGGCATTGCCTACATCTTCCAAACATGGCGCCATCTCTACATAGCTTCCTCCATTCCCTCCTTCCTCTACATCATCCTTGTCCTTCCCTTCATATCCGAGTCCCCAAGATGGTACCTCGTTCGTGGCAAAATAAGAGAGGCCATGAAGCTCATGTCCACCATCGCTTCTTCCAATGGAAAACAACTTCCCAATGGTGTTCTTCTCGCACTTGACGAAGAAGCTTCAGCATCAGCAAATGATAATAATGAACACTTGGAAAACAAAGATGCAGTTGTTGGATCCATCTTGGACGTGGTTCGCACACCAATCACACGTGTAAGGTTATTACTAGCTGTGGCTGTTAACTTCTTGGGCTCTTTGGTGTACTATGGTCTAAGCCTAAACGTTGTGAACTTGAAAATCAACCTTTACTTGAATGTGTTGCTGAATTCGGTGGGGGAAATGCCGGCGTTTATAATAACCGCGGTGTTGTTAGACAGGTTTGGGAGAAAGCCGTTGACCGTTGGAACGATGTGGTTCAGTGGGTTCTTTTGTTTGATGGGAAGTTTGATGAGTAACGTTGGTGTGTGGAAAGTGGTGAGAATGGTGTGTGGTGTTTTAGGGATATTTGGGATGGCGGGGACTTATAATTTGCTTTTTATTTACACGGCGGAGTTGTTCCCTACGGTGGTGAGGAACGCCGCGCTTGGGTGTGCCACGCAGGCGGCGCAAATGGGGGCCATACTGGCGCCGTTTGTGGTGGTTTTGGGTGGTTGGTTGCCGTTTGCGGTGTTTGCAGTGTGCGGGATTTTGGGTGGTGTGTTTGTGTTTTATCTGCCTGAGACTCTGAACCAGCCACTCTACGATACATTCAATGGATTGGAAGCTGGAATTGCACAATCCTAGGATTTTAAACCAAGGACTTAATAGCGCTTATTAGATTCCTTCCCACAAAGTATCATTCTGGTGAATTTATCATGTTGAAAAATAATATAAATCGTTATTACTTTTAGTAAACTTCGTTTTTGTTATACAATGGAAAAAGTGTGTTTAAGATATAAAATTGTATCATTTTAAGTGAGAGAAAGAAATAGATTATGGGGAAGAGAGAAGACAAAAAAAATAAAAGTATAGGTCTCACCTCTTTGTGAGAATAAATTGACACAAGTTATTAAAAGGACAAATAATTTTTCCATAAATATACAAATACTTCTCCATTGTATAATATATTAATATTAGTCATGAACCTGTGAAGCTTGGCTTAGCTCACTAATTTTTTCTTCTTCTTTTTTTCCATTTTGTGGATAATGAAACATTGAAACGATTTGTCCTCTTAATTGATAATTTTGTAAAAGGTTTAATGTTTATCTCATAGTTACTCCAAAACGACAACATATATTTTGGGTTGAGGAGTAAGATATTTTTGTAATTCTAATTTATTACGTGGTTATATTAATTTTTATTACTATTATTTTTTCTCCGAAACCAAAATTACGTCATTTTGGGATAAACCCTTTTGTAAAATAAGTAATAAAATAAAAAACATAATTCTCAATAGATTTGCAAAACTTAAAAGGAAAGTTATACTTACAACTTCATTTCCTTTAACTAAAATCAAATTAAGCAGTTAATTTGATTTTTGGTTGTAAGAGATGGTAATGATAAGATATCCCAATCTTAAATTTGAACATAGGTATCATTTGTAAATATGTGCAACGTACCCGGGAATACTAGATAATCAAAATTTGATTGTTAACATTGGAACGTTAGTGTTCTATTCATCTGGCCTATATGTATAATTGCGGGACATTGACTAATCATTTGCCACTATATTCAAAACTATTGTCCGAAATGCCACCTTCGATTTATTTTTTTTTCAAAATGCCACGTTAACGAACCCGCTATAATACAAAGCGAGTCAAATTCGGAACTGTGGGAAGTTAAAGTTGCAGACTGTGCAATCTGAAAAAGATGTCCACTTGGCATAAGTCGCTACACTGTTTACCGAGTTTGGTGCAGCCTTTTGACACGTGGTCCGACGTGGCATAACTCGCGAAACAATCAGTCGAATATAATGCACATTTGGCCTCACGTTTGCATAACTCGCTCAACTATTACGCGAATATAAAGCAACTTTTGCCACATGAAATCTCGCCCAACAGTGCAGCGATTATAACTCAATATATACTCACATGAATCCCCCATTTCATGAATCTGTCAGTTGCAACATTTTGTCTGAATTCTCTAAATTTTGCATTGTGTCTTTCTTCTGTATTTTTCATCTAATTTTTTTCAAAATGAGTAATGGCAATGATTCGGTAGTTGCCTTAGTATACTACAATGGGAGGAAATATTTTGGTCCTAATGAACAACTTTTTGAAGGAGATACAAAAACATTTCACATGATCGCGGTGTAGTTTTAATGAACTGAAGAATACAATATACAAGAAGTTGAGATTACAACGGTGTCAATATTTGTCTTGGTTGACTGCTGAATGCGCCTCGGGTAAGGAAAGTTGAGATCTTGTGGAGATTGTTGAGGATGAGGATGTCGCGTTAGTAGTGGATGCATTTCAAGATCATCCAGACTCCATATTTATTGAACTATATGCGTAAGTAGACTTCGGTAGACAGTCTAGCAGTCAACATTCTCTCCCTTTCATTCAGCCCATCGACATTAACAGAGAACAATTGGTGAATCTTAAAGATAAGTAAATGTCACCCCTACCGCCAACAATGTCAGTTGAAATACTTCTTACCCGAGATGAGTATGTTCCAACGTGCAGTATCGACAGCTCTGACGAAGAGGATGGTGACGTTAATGAAAGTGTTGATCCAGACAGTGACTTATCGGACACTGACGTGGAGGGCGATTTTGATTCATGTCTTTCCACAGCTGTGTGTCATCTGATTCCTTCACCGTGTGTCCATCCACAGTCGTGTGTCTACGAAAAACATCCCACCCAAGATGTGTATGATTAATACGCGCGTGTACATCATGCGATGTGCCTTAGTCATAGCATGTCGAGCATAGGAACCATATGCCTGGTGCAAATATCATAGATTCAACCAACCTCCATTTAAATCTCGATCGGTGGCTAGCACAAGTCCCTAGTATTCCAATATTAACTACCGCCAATCATTTTATCCAGTCCGACCATAGACAACTTCACCATATGTGGGAAAATCCAACAGATGATGTACATCCTCCAAAATGATCGTCATCTCACCATGCGTCGTATGAAAAGTATGCGTCTCAAGATGACAATGCTCGACAAACGCATAAATAAGAGCATGGTCAATCTGAAGCAATAAAAATGGGTAAAGTTTTTGAATTATTACAATTAAATCATATAAACCAAATTAACCAATAACTATACACTAACGTCGTGGTTGCGTAGCCGCACAACATGAAAGAAACCAACCTGCCTAAAGTACGGATGTATATCCTCAGGTACGTTCATAGGTTCATGTGTGGCCGCCATCCTGACATTAAGTCGCCTATCCTCTGCACCATTCCACACGTATTTGGATATGTGCTTTTCTTGTAATATCAGGAGAGAGCGATCAATGAGGCCTGATGTAATCACGCTACGATGAGATCTCAGGGAGGTAGGATCGAGGTGTAAGGTCATGGTCCTCACGTGGCAATGAACCAGTAGAAAAATCCATGAATCTATTTCAAGAAAAAATTAAAATAAATTAATCATGTTATTTATAAATATTAGTATAACGATAAAATTAATTTCTCAACTGTTAATATTTATATTAAAATAAAATATTGAAAAAAAATTCAAACCAATGTTAAAATCCTTTTTAATATTTTAATTAAAAAATAAATTTAAAATAGCAAATATCCTATAGTTTACCTATACTAATTCATTTAACAAACATAAAACATGTCATCTATCCTAGGGTTTAATCCTTACACTAAATAAAAATAATAATAATAATAATAATAAAATATCATTTCTCCTGTGATTTCAAGTCCTAAATTAAATTACATTAAAATAAAATATATAAAATACAAAATTCAAACCAATGTTAAAAGCCTTTTTATTATTTTAATTTTAAAATAATAAATTAAAAAAATAAATCTTGCTATATTTACCTATACTAATTCATTTAACAATCTATCGTAGGGTTTAATTCCTACACTAACAAAAATAATAAAATAATAAAATATCATCTATCCTATGGTTTCAAGTCCTAAAATAAATTACATTAAAATAAAATATATAAATAAATAAAATTTAAACCAATGTTAAAACCCTATTCATGATTTTAATTTAAAATATAAATTAAAAAAAAATCAAATATCATACAATTTACCTATACTAATTTATATTATAAATTTTAAACATGTCGTCTATCTTAGGGTTTATTATACTAGTATATGCTAATAATGTTAGTATAACCAAACACCCTTGGTACAGATGGTAAGGAATCTGGGCTCCTTAATTAACCAGCGATCTCAAGTTTAAGACTTGGGAATGAAAAAAAGAATTTGGGAGAGCTGCCTCTTTAATAGGGTCCAACAAGTGCTCGAATCGGATGTAGTTCAAAGGATGAATCGGTGGAAAAACTAAAAAAAAATGTCAATATAAAAATTTATAAATACTAACCTTATGTTGTGAGAGAGAAAACCTTGAGTGAAAAATTTAGAGAGACAAAACTTAGAGTGAAATTTTTAGAGAGAGAAAAAAATGTTGAGGGGGGGGGGGGGGGATGTTGGCTGTTTTTATAAGAAATGTGTTGCATACAATTTGGTAGACTATGCAGCGAATTAGGAGAGGTAATGACACGTGTCACACATATATGGACTGATTGTACGATGTGCATAATATTCAGCAAGTTATGTCAGCGTCAGCCACGTTGAAAAATTGTACCAAAAGTCGTGGAGCAGCCCAACGAGTTATGCCACGTGGACAGCTTTTCCAAACTACATAGTCTGCCATTTTGACGGGCCAAACTTGTTGTACTCTTCCCCGAATTTTTTGGCCTCCAAGAAACGGCCACATGTCCAAACAATTGTTGCATTTTGTTGTAACAGGGCGTGTTCGAAAAATTAGACTACAACATGGCATTCTGATAAATAGTTTGTAATATTGGGCAAATGGATCAATGTCCCGTAAATTGCTTCCCATATTTTGTGGAGTGCTGTATTTCACAACAATTATAAATCTACACTAATTTTATGGAAAAGGTGGAGTTTTTTTTGTTTTTTTGTTTTACCTCAAAAACTTGATTTGAGAGAAAGAAGTTCCTCAAAGTACAAGAAGACATATTGATGTTCGATTTAAGTTTTGGGCTTGATGGACGTTAAACATGCAAATGAACATTTTACCCGTACGTGTGGTGCAACTTGAATTACTTTTTATGAAGTTGGACTAACTTTAAATTTATCTTTCAAAGTGGTATAAATTGTAACTAATTATTGGGTTTTTTTTAGGTAATTGAGTTTTTTTTTTTTTTTTAATCCGTAGACACTAAACACAAAGTATATGTAGGTTTAATTTTTTTAATATTATTTTTTGAAGTCGTTTGATTCCTAAGCGACTTAGTATAATTTTATTTAACTATATCACTCAAGCCTTATATGAAGACTAGAACGTATCCTGTAGTCCTAACCAGCCGCTATTGACATTAGGATTTATTTTGTTACATTAACGAAGTCATGGCATAAGCTACAACTTTCTTAATATATTCAACGTGCAATTTTCAAACGCCTATCACTTCATAGATTGTAGTTAATATAAATTTGGACTGTTTCTTTTTAAGGTGGTCCTCTCAAAAGTGGTCCACTGCTGCACCAAGCAATTCAAGCCATTGATTATGAAAACTATTGCATTAAGAACAGAGAATGAATATGTTCATCTTATTGAAGAAGTTTTTTTGTAAAGTTAAAATTAAATTTACAAGTTTGAGAGCCTCACAAAAAGAGAAAAAATACGAGCTATATAAAAACTTTTCACTCAAAAACGGTTTTATTTTACTGGCCGGTATGTTGCGAATAAGAATTTAATTTTACTTTGTTTAGGTGAAGCAAGATTTGGCCAGCTTTGTTTGCACAACAAATACCGAATTATTTCCAAAAAAAAAATACCGAAATTGTCTCATCGTGGAAACAAAAATCAAGGTCAGGAAAAATCGGGGCTTGGCACTTTTAATTACATTTGTATAAAAGGAAGAGAATAAATAATATATAAAGAACAATATTGTCATAGAAGGCTACTTTCATTCACAACAGCCACCCCATAATAAACCTTTATAATTTGTTTATTTTATCCCAAACCATGTATCGATACGTCTTTTTCAATAAATGCAACTGTAATATTCAGAACATGAATGGCGTCGGAGAAAATGTAGGCACAATCGTGGACATGGCGACTCGCCTGCAACTTACACAAATAAGATCATAACATTAGACCACCAAAAAAACAATAGTAACATTAAAAATTATTTAAAAATGAGCCAAAGCATGATACAGTATTTAAAATTATATTGTCTAATCCCTTAAAAAAAATTACTCCAAATCAGTTCAGTAAATTATCCATCAATTTTGAATCGATTCAGCTATTTTTTGGTTAAATTTTTATTGAATCGGTCTTATGAATTGAATGAACTAGATACTTCACAAATTTATCAAATTTTCTGTCAAATCACGCAGATCCAATTTTCTTATAAATGATTTGAAGGAATTTGTAAAAAAAATCAATTCAATCCAAAAGCTTAAGTTGTTGGATAAGGTTATATTAATGATTTTATATATCTCAATACGTCTCTTCACACGAGAGTTCACTGAGCTTAAAGGATGAACAATGCACAAATTCATCTACCTGATACATCCATATAAAGCTACATTAATAATTTTATATATCTCAACAGAATCATTCCTTTTTTTACCCCATATATTTATCTTCTATTTTTTTATTAAATATTTATCTTTTTAATTTGAGATACGTGCTCTGCCTACTTGAAAGGTAAAACCTTAGTCTTACAAGTTACAACAGTTAAAGGATGTTCACACTCTAAACTTTATGCGGAAAAAAATAAAATAAAATAATCCGTATAATTAAAAAAAAAAATTACATAAGAAATTAACTAGTTGGTATTGACTAAATAATACTACTTGTAAAGTACGATGTAAAAGCAAACCAATCATATGAATGAATGGTCATATCCATCGATTGCGCTTTACATATGGATAAGAGCTACTTATCCAATGATGTTCCATCCGACATGAAATTCCGCAATGATAATCTTAGAAGCAATCTAATCTAATCTCTACAGGATCAGACAAAAAATCACGTTAAAAAAAAAACAAAAAACCCATTTTTAGTTTAAACGATCGTTAAGTAAATATTTTATGAGTTTGATTATATTGATAATTTCTTTTTTTATAAACGTACAAATTATATTATGTCTTACCGGTAATACTCGATTCAAGAGTGTATTATCGCTTAGACATAATGTAATTTGTAAGAGTTTAAACAAAAAAACTTACAAATTTATATATGGCTTTAACGTTTCTATAGTGAATGTAGATAAATTATCTACATTCATTCTCAAAACGAAGTCGTTTTGGATTAAAAATTTAAAAAATTATAATAAAAAGATTATTATAATTTTAAAACAAATTATAATTACAAAAATATCTTGATTTCTGTCTAAAGATGACATTGTTTTAAGTTCAATATAAATACATTATTTACGTTGACTGTAAAAAAAAATGAACTATTTAAATATATATATATATATATATATATATATATGGATGGAAATTGAACAGGTAAATCCCTCGCCATTAATCTAAATCGGCTTAATAATACAAAATTTTTTTTTCTCTCCACATCGTTTTATCGTCTATTCTACCTGAAGCCTTGAATTGCAAATAGATGAGAATAATTAACTAAGTAGGTCAAAGGGCTTTTAATTTTTACTCACCCGTAACTGTAATCGTAATCGACGCTATAATAACGGTGATGAGCCTTAGCAGTTGCAGCAGCCACGGCGCGGGTACTGCTCCTCCTCTTGAGGTCACCGCCGGACGCCACCGTGCCCCTCTCTCTCTGGGGCGGCGCGTTATCCTCGGAAATGGATCCGAGCGAGGGCCTCCAATGAGGCGCGTCCCGCTTCTTGCTGCGGAGAGCCTGAGAAGGCGGCGGAGGAACGAGGTTGTTCGTGGGGTCTACGGCGCAGCCGCAACAAGAAACAAAGTCTAAGAAGAACCTCATTAACAAGGAATTAGTTTAAGGTTTTCTATCCTACAAGATCAAGGTTTCCATCGTCCTAAAGATGCTACCGAATGAATATCACATATTGTGTTGTGTTGTTTCATCTGCGACGACTTTATGAGAGACCTAATGAATAGAGTGCGGACCCAGAGACTCGTCGTTATCCGTTACCCGGTAATACTTTGCCCTCCCATTCCACTTTTATTTACATTTCGTGCCATTACTTTAATAACAAAATACTTACACATTTTTTTTTAATATTATCCATATTCATAAATTACTTCAGTAGTCCAATTTAAACCAGTAGTATTACGTGAATTGACAAAACTCTTTGAATTGACAAAACTCTCTGTATTAAATTTTAACACAATAAAATATTTGTATCCAGTGTTATTAACATGACCGAGCATCGATTCGGTCGGGATACTGAGTTATTGGGTCACTGATCAGACCGATGGATCACTGGTCGGATTGGTTGCCCCAGATATATATAGACATATAAAAATATATAAAAATATGAATATATAAATTCAAATATATTTTCCATATCTAAAATGAATTAAATAAGATTTTTTAAATAAACTCAAAAACAAAAACCATAAATAAATAAAAATGCATGCTATTACTATGTCAATTTAAATTGCAACTCAGAATTCTCATAAACATACCTCTTTGAACTCATACTTTTCAATTCAACTACATTAAAAATGACATATGTCACATTCTCTTAATTTATTATTCCTCAAATTGTTTCAGTATTAGAAACTGAAATTTGAGGTCATCGTAGAAGAGTATACTAACAAATAAAATTACAAAAAGTTTTTAAGATGAGTTCTACATTTTTTTTTAACAAGATGAAACAATTTTGGTTTTTTTATTTTTTGATTTTTATTTTTTAAAAATGCGTGACTCTACAGGGTCACTGGATTGCCAGGTCACCGGATTTGACCGATTTTGTCCAGATTTTGACTAGGTTTGATTGGGTCGAAACATGACCGATCTAATGCTTGATCCAAACTAGTCCGATGACCGTTTCATCCGGTTCGGGCCGGGTTTTATAATTATGTTTGGATCCGTTGATAATTGGTTAAGCTAAAATAACTCTTTACCAAATTCTTTACCCGTTGATACACCTGATTAGAGGTACTTATATATTTTTAAAGATAAATTAGTTTAATGATATATTTTTAATTTTAACGTGACAAGTGGTGCTGTATGGTTATAATTATAAATTATAATAATATTTCAGAGTGCGGACACTTTCTCACTCATTGTGTGGGTTCGTTGTTTGTTAGCGAGTTTTGTGAGTGTTGAAGTGGTACCACGCCGGCTCCACGGTGTTTAATAAGGAGGGTTTGGTAGGCCACGCAGTCCCCGTGATGAGTGATTTGCTGCTACATCATTTTCAAATGAAAATTACTCCTCAAATACAGAATTGCATGTAAAGTATGTTTGAAAATACTAACAAGCATTGGGTTCAGTTGAAATACTTTTATGCAAATAGACATTCATATAGTACATATACTTCAATGAAGATAAATTGGATGGGTAAATAAGTAAGTGGAATTGGATATATATGTGCTTTATAGTCTTCTGTTTTGTGGTTTTGGACATCTGTGTACCGGAGAGAAAGATGGTCAATTTCAATTCCCTTAACCTCCCTCGCCTTTTTTTTTTCATTTCTTTCTAACTCTTATTGGGCTAGGTGGAACACTCGTAGGTCCTACCTTAGGATAGGATCTTCCTTAGAACTAATTATACTTAATGTTAAAAAAAAAAAAAAATGAATGACCGAAATTTTTTATAATGTTGAAAAAAGTCAATGATCGAATGTGGGAATTTTCTTATATCTAGTGAGACCTAATAAAAAAAAAATAGATGGTGGTATTTTTTATAACGTGGAAATATTAATAATTGAATGTGGAATCTCTCTTAAGTGCTTGTTTGGATCCTCTCTTTTTTAAACTAGAAGCTATTTATAAGCATAAGCTAAGTCAAACAGGTTTTAAAAAAAGCTCTTATAACGAAAAGCTCTTTTTTTTATAATGAAGAAAAAAACTGAAAATTAAAAGCTCTTAGGAGGAGCTTTTTTTAAACTCTTATGTGTTTTTCTTGAATTGTGTGCTTTTTTTTTAGGAAAAGTGATAAAGATAGAGAGAAATAATTTTCTTGAAATATGTGTTTTTAAGTAATTTTTAAGCTAAATTTTTTATGTAATTTTCAAACAATTTTTAGTTTCTTTTTTAAGCTCTTTTTCTTATATTTAACTTATAAGTAGCTTCTAGCTTAAAAATAAGACAATCCAATAGTGTACTACATAATACAGATGTGGATAAGGATTGAGTTTTAATTTATCTATTTTTTTGTCAAAGAGGTTTAATTTTTTGGTGCAACTGTATAAAGTTGTATTGGTTATATTATCTTATAAACGCATTTCCTTCAAGTTGGATACTCCTGAAGATTATATCTCAAACATATTGATCACAACATATTTGCTATCTAGCTAACAAAAGTCGGCATAGTTAATTAAGAGTTTAGTTCATATTCTATAAGAGTCTGGGTTCAAACCTCATTGGCCTATATGAGAACTTTGTTAGTGAATGATATATAATTCAAAATTTGGGAGGTCTTCCCTGACCTTGGTGAGATACTGGTGTCCAACTCCATTTAAATTTTTTATTCTCCAAATATATATATATATATATAATCAGGATCATTTTCCACTTGTGTAAAATTAATAAGTCTTATATCACATCTCAACCATTGATTTCAGTATATCCAACGATTATAATTTAGGAAGTCATATGAATTAATTAATAATTAATCATTAATTACACTACAAACACCAACCGATAATTTTCGTCCATCAACGGTTGAGATGTGATGTAAAACTTATTAGTCTACACTAGGGATGTGCATGGAGCGGTTCGGTTTGGTTTTTTTCAAAAATCAAACCGAACCGGTTTTATATTTTAAAAACCGGTTTTAATTTTTCCAAACCGGTTTTGAACCGGTTTTAACGGGAAAAGCACCATTTTGAAGTTTTTGGACAAAAGAATTGCCCGGTTAAAGCTGATTGGATAAGTTTTTCCAAAGTAATGCAGTCAAACATGTCACATGTGCTGACGGGACTAGTCCCGTCACTGATACTGACGGGACTCGTGCCACGTCAGCGCCACGTAGGCAATCCAATTACCGTAAATCTTCGGAAGACCATAACTTGTGACTCGGGTATCCAAATCAGATGATTTTTTTTTTATTTCAAATAACTTTTCGAGATCTACGCAATGATACCTCGTTTGACATATTTTATATCCCACAAATATAGTTTGAATTTGTAACAATTGTATCACAATCACAAGAGTGTTTATCCATAAGCTATGTTTGTGGGAGATAAAATATATCAAATGAGGTGTCATTGCGTAGATCTTGAAAAGTTATGTGAAATCAAAAAAAAATCATCTGATTTGGATACCCGAGTCACAAGTTATGGTCTTCCGAAAATTTACGGTAATTGGACTGCTTACGTGGCGCTGACATGGCACGAGTCCCGTCAGTATCAGTGACGGGACTAGTCCCGTCAGCATAGGTGACATGTTTGACTGCATTACTTTGGAAAAACTTATGCAATCAGCTTTAACCGGGCAATTCTTTTGTCCAAAAACTTTAAAATGGTGCTTTAGCCCGGTTTTAACTCAAAACCGATTTTAAATCAAAACCGTTTTTGAATCAAAAACCGGTTATCAAATTAAAATCGATTTTATAACAAATTTAAAACTGGTTTTTGATGAGTTACAGTTTTTTAAAAAAAATTAAAATAAACTAATTACTAAATAAAACAAGGAGAATAGACAGTGGGCATGCAAAGTGAGTTAACAGTGAAATACTTTGTCCCAAGTATATTGCTGAAGTACTAACTTATGCGGCAAAGATTTTAATCAGTAGCATTAGGGGTGTAAATGGGCTGGGCTGGGCTGGGCTTTGGCCATTCTGGTCCAAGCCTACGTCAAAAAAAAGTCAGCCTATCTGGCATATTGGCCTATTAAAGGCTTTATTTGTAGGCCAAGCCCGGCCCATTTTCAAAAGTAAGAAAGCCTGACATGGCCTACAGGCCTTATAGACCTCCCACTATATATACTAAACAAAAAAAATAAATGTATAGAGCAAAGAAAGTTCCATTCATGCATACACTAGTACTTCTCATAAGAAAAAAATGACAAACAAGAAAGAGTCAACATAATACCTTAGCTCTAGAATGTATATCATAGAGGAATAGAGTCGAAGAAATGGGAAAAATAAGAAAAATACAATTACTGGATGCTGAAATAAAGTCTACATGAGAATGTCATTCATCTAAAAATCTTTAAACCACCATCAAGACAAGGGAAAGAAGATTATTATTGAAAGATCTTCATCAGTAACATCATAATACAGCAAGGTACCCATTGTTCCATGGTATTAAGCTGCAACAACATGTAAAATTTGGAGACATTATACAAGTTTTTCTTTCACAAAATAAAATAGCACAAAAAGTAAGAGATTTTGGTATTTGATACTTTGTGTCTTTGCCACATAAAATAATAAAAATATATATTTTATTTTAATAAATTAAATAGGCCAGCCTACAAGGCTGTAGGCCGGGCTTGACAAAATTGGCTTATGGCCTATTTATTAGAAAAGCTTTTTTATAAGCCTAAGCCTACTCTACTTTCCTGAAAGGCTAGGCCTGAGCTGGGCTCAATGTAGGCCGAGCCGTAGGCTGGGCTGGGCCAGCGTGACCCATTTACACCCCTAAGTAGCATATTAGATAGAAAGATTAAATTTAACAAAACTCCAGAGACCAAAGAACTGAGAAATATTTTCCTATCATTATAATTTAACACCACAGAATATAGAGAGAGTAAAAAGTTTCTACTCTCCAGGTGCAGAGATGTCTTGCTTCAGTCTATCCTTTTTCATCATCTTCTTTGAGATTGGCTTCTTTTTTCTAGGAGGGAGGGTCTTCTGTGCATATGTGTTGAGTACATAATTTCCAACGAGGAATACCAATAGCAACCCAACAATAACCAGGAGAACAATTACTCCTGGGTTGA